GAAGGCTGATGAGAGCAGAGGAACTAAGCAACATATACGGCAAGCCCGCATGCTTGTTGGAGAGACATTTGTTCTGTTCAGAGTCACCAGCGAATGCAAATCAGACTCGGGTCGGTAAGGGTTGGCGCCTTGAGACTGAGTCCAGGCCTATAGTTAGTTAGTTAGGGTCTCTGTTTGTGTCAGGCCACAAGTGTTGTTACTGATTATTGGAAGGACTCCACAACTTAAAGTGACATTTCACATTGGAGAGCTGATAAAATCCTACAAACTCAAGCCAGACTGGCGTTTTGCTCAGAAGGAATACTCAGGCACGTGCTACAGGACCAGTTATAGGAGGGGGAATACTGTAGATTTGTGTAAGATGGTAAGCTATTGTGCTGCACCGCAGGCTAGCCCATACCGTACACCCATACACTGATTCCTGCTCTTTTAGGGTAATAACAGGTAAGGTGTGGCAGCTTAGTTGTGCCCGCCAGTAAGTAAATTACTTCACTTTCTACCTTCATCCATCAGAAGGCTCCGTGCCTTTGGGCTGAGTGTATGTAAATTTATTGTATGTTTCCAGCATTTGTGGTTGTGTTTATTTGCCACATCTAAGTACATTTCTGTTGTGGTAAAAGCTAGTGTTGGGGTTGCTTTCCTCGTTTGTGACTTCACTGGCTCCTGGGGGGCCCACCCCGGTACACGGCTTACATGTATGTTTAGGGTCGGTGCTGAAAGATTAACCTCCGCCCCAGTCTCAAGTCTCTTGCTGACTCTACCACGTTTTCTTCTAAGATTGCCCTGTATTTGGCTCCATCCATCTTCCTCTGACCAGCTTCCCTGTCCCTGCTGAAGGTTATTGTTTAGGGTGGAGAGGGTTTTTTTCTTTAAGGTGGAGAGGTGGTTATTGTTTAGGGTGGAGAGATGGGGAGGGGGTTATTGTTTAGGGTGGAGAGGTGGGGGTTATTGTTTAGGGTGGAGAGGTGGGGGAGGGGGTTATTCTTTAGTGTGGAAAGGTGGGTTATTGTTTAGGTTGGAGAGGGGATTATTCTTTAGGGTGGAAAGGTGGGGGTTATTGTTTAGGGTGGAGAGGTGGGGTTATTCTTTAGGGTGGAAAGGTGGGGGTTATTGTTTAGGATGGAGAGATGGTGGTCAGTCAATCCTGGTTCCCAGACTTTACAAGCACCTCTCCTCCTCCATATTCTGCTATGGAGCAATGGCTGGGAAATGCAGGGGGGAGGGAGGGGGGTGAACCCCAAAGCTGCCAATTGCTGTCACGAACTACAACACTCAGCAGCCCCATCCTCCGCCCTGCAAGAAGTTCTGCAGCAAAGTTGTCAGAGGTGGGGAGAGGGGGAGCCGGGCTCAGGGTTCGACACACCCCAGTCACCTGGAAAAGTGGAGTCACCCGGCAGCCATCAGCAGAAGAGCCTAGAGAGGGGAAGCGGTGCAGCACGTCTCTGGTGAAGAGACTCACTGCACTAAGACTGAGCTAAGGTGGGCGGAGTCATTCCAGGAGGGGCGAGGCAATTAGAGGAGACGCTGCAGGACACTTAGCCTGTGCCAGGTACCTGGAGGCAAAACAGTTATCAGTGCAGGCTCAAGGGACAGCTGCTTTGGGCCCCACATCAAAAACTGGGCCCAGGGCAGCTGCCCCTTTTGCCCTGCGTTAAAGACGGCCCTGGTTAACAGCTAAGCTGTTGAAGCCCAGATCCCAAAGGACAGGGGCCTATTGGATTTTATCATCCTTATGCTCTGGAGCAGCCTTTTTCAACCAGGGTGCCTTCTGGGTTCTTCAAGGGTGCCTTGAGAAAATAAAATTGCTCCAAATTACAAAAAATGTCAACAAGCTGGCAGGTGGATCAAGCCTGCTGCTTTTTTTACACTAAGCCACAGGTTTTTATTGTGCACCATTACAGTCTTAGGCACTGCACAGGACAGCTGTTAGCTTCCTAACAACCAATGAGGTCAAAGGTTGATAAGGAGGACATCAGGCACCTAAGTCCTTGTTTGCCCCTCCCCTGCCCCTTTCTTTCAACATTGGGATCACATTAACAGAATGTGAGAGAGAAACCGAGGGTGAAGAGAAACACTGGAATACTAGTTAGTACCAGTGTGCAAAGGAGTATTTGCTTTGTAAGAAAAAAAATCACCTCTAATATTGGGTGTCCTATATGTATAAATGCTGCTGCGTTATGAAAAATTATAAGATTAGTTGTTTACATTTTAGAATAGGGTGCCTTGAGACTGCATCATTTTAAAGGGTGCCTTGACTGAAAAAGGGTTTAGAAACACTGCTCTGGACTTCTCTCAAAATCGACCATCACACTTGGAAAGAGTTTTTCTCTTGCTGTGAGACAAGGAAATTTCATCCCAGAATGCTCTCAATGGGACAAATCCTGTCTTTTCTCCAGTCTGCTCTGCATCGGCGTTTGGCTTTGAGTACCATCAAGGATCAAATCTTGGCCTTCATTTTTCAGAGACTGCTAGCCTCTCACTTAAAGACCTACAGGTGAAATTTAAAAAATTAGAATATGTGCAAAAGTTCATTTATTTCAGTAATGCAACTTAAAAGGTGAAACTAATATATGAGATAGACTCATTACATGCAAAGCAAGATAGTTCAAGCCGTGATTTGTCATAATTGTGATGATTATGGCTTACAGCTCATGAAAACCCCAAATCCACAATCTCAGAAAATTGGAATATTACATGCAATCAATAAAACAAGGACTGTACATAGAACAATATCGGACTTCTGAAAAGTATAAGCATGCATATGTACTCAGTACTTGGTTTGGGCCCCTTTTGCAGCAATTACTGCCATGCGAAGCTATCAGCCCACAGGCACCATAGCACTGCTGAGGTGTTATGGAAGACCAGGATGCTTCAATAGCAGCCTTCAGCTCTTCTGCATTATTCGGTCTCATGTCTCTCATCTTTCTCTTGGCAATGCCCCATAGATTCTCTATGGGGTTCAGGTCAGGCGAGTTTGCTGGCAAATCAAGCACAGTAATCCCACGGTCATTGAACCAGGTTTTGGTGCTTTTGGCAGTGTGGGCAGGTGCCAAGTCCTGCTGGAAAATGAAGTCAGCATCCCCATAAAGCTCGTCTGCGGAAGGAAGCATGAAGTGCTCCAAAATCTCCTGGTAGACAGCTGCATTGACCCTGGACTTAATGAAGCACAGTGGACCAACCCCAGCAGATGACATGGCTCCCCAAATCAACACAGACTGTGGAAACTTCACACTGGACTTTAAGCATCTTGCAGTGTGTGCCTCTCCATTCTTCCTCCATACTCTGGGTCCTTGGTTTCCAAATGAGATATAAAAGTTGCTCTCATCAGAAAAGAGGACTTTTCTTTAGCCCAGGTAAGACGTTGTTGTTGTTCAGGAGTGGCTTGACAAGAGCAATATGACAGTTGAAGCCCATGTCCAGGATCCGTCTGTGTGTGGTGCCTCTTGATGCACTGACTCCAGCCTCAGTCCACTCCTTGTGAAAGTCCACAACACTTTTGAATGGCCTTTTCCTGACAATCCTCTCCAGGTTGCGGTCATCCCTGCTGCTTGTGCACCTTTTTCTTCCACGCTTTTCCCTTCCACATAACTTTCTATTAATGTGCTTTGATACAGCACTTTGGGAACATCCAACTTCTTTTGCAATTACCTTTTGAACCAGACTGAGAGACCATTTAAAGGCTCAGGAACCCTTTGCAGGTGTTATGGCTTAATTAGCTGATTAGAGTGGGACACTTTGAGCCTAGAATATTGCACCTTTTCACAATATTCTAATTTTCTGAGATTGTGGATTTGGGGTTTTCATGAGCTGTAAACCATAATTATCACAATTTTGACAAATCACGGCTTGAACTATCTTGCTTTGCATGTAATGAGTCTATCTCATATATTAGTTTCATCTTTTAAGTTGCATTACTGAAATAAATGAACTTTTGCACAATATTCAAATTTGTCGAGTTTCACCTGTATGTACAGGGTGTCACTCACATTGTTTCTTCTCTACATTTCCCAGTGACTCCTTGAGATCTCAGCTTGGTTCTGCCAACTCTTCAAAGGTCTCTCTTTGAACCTGTTAGGGATATTCTATTGTCTATATATACTCAAAAAGTTACCTCTCTCATTGCAATCATACCACCAAGGAAAGATTCTGATTTGCTCATTGAGTTACTTATATCTGACCGTTTCAAGGTGAAAAAAATCTGTGTTCAGAGGGTGGGATTGAGACTGAACTGGAAGAGAGAATCATTGAAACAACGGAACACTCCCATAATAAAATTATTATGTCTAAAATGGTAGTATTTTTATATAAATAAAAGTGCAAAAAAGTTTTTTTCTGTTGGTGCCAATTTTAGTTTCCAAAGGCAGCCACAAGGCCAAGACCTGGACAAGGTGAAGCACTTGATTCTGTTCCTTTCAGCTGATTCTAGTCTAGATCTTCACAATTTTATTACATACATTTGTGACTATGTTTGCACTTATTGGTGATGTGCTCCCCCAATCACTTAAAAATATGCTTTAGGCCCAAACTGAGATCATGTTAGGAACCTGTTTGTAAAAAAACTTTTATTTCTCCCATATTTTAATAATCTGTAAAAGAACACCTTTTATTAAGACGGTTTTACTGTTCTGCTGTAATAAACCTGAATAGCAGATCACACAAAGCTGAAAGAAGAGACAACCCCTTCAGTTTGCAGGTATTTCCAACAATGAACAAAAATGTTAGTCTTTCTTTGCAGCACAGCATGCTCTACAAACCAAGTAAAACCGACCAAAACAAATAGCATAATTACAGGTATAATAATGACACATGACATTATGCAGAAATACTTTATTGGAAACTTGTTGACAAAGCACAGTCACTGCTGCATTTATTTTAATATCACAAAAGGTTTTGGTCCATTATTTCAGGTAACAGGGATATCTGATTTCAACTTTTCCAGGTGAATAAAGGAATGCAGATGCAGAGTAGACTGGCTGGATCATCATGGGTGATCACGTCTTAGCTGCTTTCTCCCCCATGGTATGCTTGTCAAACAGGTACTCGCCCATGCCGTTCTGGGGCACCCCAAGGCGCTTCAGGTTGGTGATGTAATCTCCAAGCTGCTTAATAGCCTTCACCTGTTCCTCCAGGTATTCAGACTCAAGGAAGTCACACAGCTAAAAACAAAATAGAACCAGTTAATTATCTGTTTGGCTTGTTACAAAAAAAAAAACAAAAACATACAACCATTATACAACATATATAGAATATGTTAGTAGCAAGATTGCAATAGTTAAGAACACAACTAAAGCATCTTTAGCGCCATTTCACAAGAGCTAAAAATGTTGGTGTCCTATACAAGGACACGGTTAAAGTACATCGGTAACAAAGCTGATCGTCAGAAGACCCAAAGATATAGACAACTGAAGTTAAGGTAAATCTACTTTTCCTGTAAACGTCAAGCTGGCCCCACCCATTTTTGCCTACAAACCTTCATCATTCTCAGTGAGTACTCCTCTCACCTGCATTACTAGTAAATTTGGCCTGGCACCTGCAGTTTGTTTAGTCTTTTCTTTATGAGACTCATATTTTGAGGTTCACCAGGCAAGAAGCTTGATGCTGGACTGGGACAAAAGCTGATTCTTTTAGGGACTTGGTTTCAACAAAAATCACTATATAGTTTAAATGGTCTGAATTTGTCCCCTCCGAGTCTTGGTGGGTCAGGGCAGATACTTTTTGTGGCTCTATAAAACATCCTTCTGCCAACTACCAGGACACAGTGTGGACAGATACTTACATGGGGGTCGACCTTGTCAGATGCCACTTTGTGCAGATCCAGAAGAGCCTGGTTCACGGTCTTTTCCAGCTGCAGAGCAGCCTGCATGGCCTCCAGGGTGTTACCCCACTCATCACGCTCTGGTTTCTGAGAAAAACATGTAATTTCTACAATTAGTATGTTCACATTAAGAAAATAGATCTTCAATATACAGTTGAGGGTAGTCTATTGGGGCTACATTACAATCACATGTATGCATTTCTTTCTATGTTTATAATTTACAGCAGCAGTTGTGCTGTTTCAGATCCATTAAGCAAACTGCATGTAATGAAACTGCCTCTAGTGCCTTCATGACACATCAGGGAAACCAGTTTGCCTAGCGAGTCAGATACAAGCATAAAAGATGATTATAAGTAATAAGATGCACAGAACAAACAGACAAAAAATTTGGTGGCAAAGTCACCAAATTTGTCATTACATAAGGCTTTTTTCAACCATGTGCACAAAACTCCACATGACCCAAGTTTTGTCCACCGAAACAAGTTCTATCCAGCAGATTCACTTTAGGCATGGACCAAATAGACCTCACCACCAGGGTTTGCATATCACAAGCCAACAGTAAGTAGAATACTAAAAAAAAATGTTTTACCTTGACATCCTGCAAGACAATGCGACCCCCACGTTTGTTTTGATACTTCATCAATTTCTCAGCATGCTCCCTCTCTTCGTGACTTTGTTCCTTGTAAAACTTGGCCACATGGTGAAGGGCGACATCATCACGGTCAAAGTAGAAGGCCTGAAGGAAGAGGGTAGAAAATTAAATTTAGGATTAGATAAAATAGAAGTAGTAAAGGCACTCATTGATCTTAAACAGTAGTATGTGTCCAAACAAGAGGAGCTTATTCTGTCCAACATTTTGATGGATCACAGTCAATTTTTGCCAAGGCAGGACATTTAGAATTAACTATAATGTGTCAAAAACCTATACCAGGACTGCTACATGTTCTTTTATCAGTGTAAGGTACATAGATTCACAGACACTCTGACTGGGGCCTAGTCTGATCATTTTAGAGGGCAGAACCTCTGTGTTCCAATGAGATCAGCACATTGTAATGTACAGCGCTGAGCGAACCTTTGGCGTTATATAAATACTGTATAATAATAATAATAAATAATAATCTAGTGGATATCGTAATTTAAGCTTTAGTGATTTAGGGTTCATAAAGAATAGAGGGCAATAAGCGTAAACCCAAGAAGAAACCTGAGTCTTTTATTGTTCAGCTGGAAGGGCTATCACCATCACCAGTGTACCAAATGACTCATTACTAATCAATAGCAAAATTTAAGCAAAAAAAAATAAATTTCAGAAAGTTATTCTGACAGTCAGCTGGTTAACTGACTCTTTAACAGAAGCAAACTGATACTGGTCTTTATACTCCTAGACAGGGGCGGACTGACCATTTGGAAACTCGGGCACTGCCCTAGGGCCCGGGGTCAGTAGGGGGCCCCATGAGATGCCCCTGGTACCTTTTTTATAGGGTTTTTTCGAGTTTGGGCAAGGACACGAGGCCCCATGATCCCCTATTGCCCGGGGGCCCCATGAGTTGTCAGTCCGCTCCTGCTCCTAGATTGTAAGCTCGAAAGAGCAAGGCCCTTGACCCCCTCGTCTTTTGTTTTGTTACTGTATTGTCTCATGTTCTGTCCCCCACTATAATGTACAGCTCTGAGCAAACCTTTTAGCGCTATATAAATTCTGTATAATAATAATAATAATATACTGGTCTAACAGAAAATATTTGGTAAAACCCCAGCTTTACAAGACAGTGCAGCTAGCCTTTGCACATAAAAAGCAGTAATAAGCAATAAGAATTTTTTCACAGACATGTTTGAAGAATGAGCCTGGAGGAAGCAAAGTTCCCACTAATACAGTAAGGAAGGAGTGTTACCAATAATGTATAGTATGCAAGTAGGTGGGGGGTGGGGTTGTAGGTTTCTTGTCCCCCTCCCATCAGTGTCCTTGCACAACAGAACTGTTTTTCAGCCTCTCTCAGTAAAAGGAGAGATAAGATATACAGTGTGGTTGGGAAATAGGGTGGGCAGCACTGCGAAGAGCTGATATTGATTACTGGGTGCAGGAAACAAGACAATGTGTGGATTCTTGTTTGCATAGGGCAGCAGTGAGCTCACTACAAGGTTCCATCTTGCCTTTGTAAAACAACAGCAGTAAAGGGAAGTAAAATAGCATACAGATGTAAATGAGCCAACAAGGCAAGTCAGCAATCAAATCCTACTGTTATGGGGCTTTCCGTTCAATAATTCAGTCTGATCTACAACAGGCAATGGAATGTGCCATGCAAACCAGTTGAACTGAACACAGCAATATTCTGACCTTCCGAGGTGGAGCAATAGCCACTCAGACCATGGAAAATCTATCACTATGGCTCCACAACAACATATCCAGATCATTGGGTATAGAAGGTGTTTCTATATAATTTAGGTACTCATTTGCCACGGTGTTACCATTTTAGTATAATGCTGAACACAACAGTGCAACTACCTTTAAGATGAGGATTGTAGAGCCAGAGACTTTACAATATGGCTGCTGGCTCCTTTATATACACAACTATGTCCTTGCTTGAAAATGTTTTTTTATAAAGGTACTCACCATGGAGAGGTAGGTGTAGGAGGCATACAGCTCCATGTTCACCATGCGGTTGATGGCAGCCTCGCAGTCGCGGTGGAAGTTCTGGCGCACCTGGGATTCCATTTCAGCGATTTGTCGGTTTTGGGTGGCGCAAAAAAAAAAATCAAAATAAAAGTAATGCAATAGATGTTTAAAAAGAGCAAAGGACTCAGAGAGGGTTCCGTTCAAACACTGTTGAAGCAAGAACTCTGCTCAGAGTCAGTTGTAGATCTGATCACAGCACAAAGGAGCTCTGTATATATAGGCAACCAGCCTGAGAGCCTGGGGACTGCACTCCCTCCCTTCACTTACATCATCTACCAGAAGCCAATCAAAGTCCAAGTATGCAGCTCACAGTCACAGGCAGGAACGTGTGCACCAGTAGTGCAGTGTGTAAAAAATGCACATTCATACTTGCTGAGCAGGAATTTCCGTTATACAATTAAATTTTTACTATAGAAATATTGTTCACAATGAATCCCTGTGAACGGTAATCTTAGCTTTAAAATTAACAATTCCACACCTACACATACAGCATACATTAACCATTAATCCACGGCAATATGTACATTTTTTTTTGCACACATAAACAAATCAGCATTTTTGCTAGAAAATTACTGTCAACCCCACAAAAAGTATATATTTTCTGAAAAGAGACCGTGGAGAATAAAATGGTGGCAGTTGTAATTGTATATGTCACACAATATTTGCGCAGCTATTTATCAAATGCATATTTTCTGGAAAAAATACACTAAAATACAATTTGGTGCAAAGAAACAAAACATGGTTCCCAAATTTTTGGTTAAATATAAAAGATGGGGTTGCATCAAGTAAATAAATTTCAAACATGTCAAGCCTTAAAATTGCACATGCCTGTGGATTTGCAAAAAACTATGGTATCCAAAATTATTGATAGGTGCCGCTTTGAAAGAATTTTCAGGTTATCACTTTAGAGTTATTTGTGAAATATGGCCCTAGAATTATTGCACTCACTCTGGCGTTTTATGATACCTCACGTGTGTCACAGTTGATGTTTACATACATGTGCTCACCCTACGCTGCACTTTTTATATGGGGTTTGTATGGGGGTGACAGGGGTGCTTTACATTTTTCTTTAATTATTTTTTTTCACACTTTATTTTTTATTTTATTTATTTGTTTTGCTATTTTATTGCTATCACAAGTGAGCTAACAAGGCCTTTATGTGATAGCATGGCCAGGTGACAGGAAATCTTTATAAAGACATTGGGGTCTATTAGACCCCCAATGTCTCCCTGCCTTCCAATGCAACTATTCAAGCACAGGCCATGCTCGAATAGCTACATCCTTGGCTACACTAGCCAAGGAATTACAGACGTGATGCCGGAAGTGATGTAATACATATCACTTTCCGGGTCATTAGTCGAAGGAGAGATTGGGGAATGGATGTTCCCTGAGTTCCTCCTGCTTTCACTGTGGAAGTTGTTTCCTGTGGTCCTGGAGGAAGAAAAGAGCCAAGGAACCACCACATGTTCTGCCAGCATGAGGCGAGGGGTGCACATTGAGAGCCCCGTAGAAGTAATTTCTTTTATAAGAAAGCCCTTTACGGGCTGTTACCTACTGTTAAAGCCACTACCAAGCTCACAGCTACACTAGCAGCTCTGAGCTGGATTTAACCACTTGTCTACCATGTAGTTTATAAATATATCTTGAAAAACAAGTGGTTAAAGAAGGAAAACCTGTTTGGATATTTTTACATAGTTACATAGTTAGTCTGGCTGAAAAAAGACAAAAGTCCATCCAGTTTAACCATTAAAAAAAAAAGTTATAATCCTATACCCACAGTTGATCCAGAGGAAGGCAAAAAATCTCAGCAAAAATTCCTTCCTGATCCCCCGAGAGACAATCGGATATTCCCTGGATCAACTTTACCTATAAATGTTATATCCAGTTATATTCTATGAACCTAAGAAAGAATCCAGGACTTTTTTTAAGCAATCCACTGAGCTGACCAGAAACAACTCTTGAGGGAGTCTATTCCACATTTTTCACAGCTCTCACTGTGAAGAAACCTTTCTGTGTTTGGAGATTAAATTTCTTTTCCTCCAGACGTAAAGAGTGCCCCCCTTGTCTTCTGTGATTATCTCAGGGTAAATAACTGTACATCGAGATCACTATATGAACCACTGATGTTTTATACATGTTGATCATATCCCCCCTTAATCTCCTCTCCTCAAGAGAGAATAAATTCAGTTCCTCTAATCTTTCCTCATAGCTGAGCTCCTCCATGCCTCGTATCAGTTTGGTTGCCCTTCTCTCTTTTTGTGAATTGGTGACCAAAACTGAACTGCATATTCCAGATGAGGTCTTACTCATCCAGCTTGGACCAATGTAACTATGCATATACCATACCTGTGGGATCCCTCCAGAAGCTGGAAATCACTGTAATAGACACCACAACTCCACTGACCTCTGCTCGCTTTCGGGTCCTGCGTTGAGCAACTGCCCTCTATCTTGTGTATACAGGATTTCAGGCGCTAAGTATGGTGCTATTCAGAGAATGCTTTGCATCTTCTCAATAAAAGCAAAGCATTCTTTCATTGAACAAGGTGGAGAGCATGACGTCATTGCCCGAACTCTCCATCTAGTAAAGATACCAAACATGTCAAGACTCAAAATTGTTCTTGCTTGTGAAATGGCAGCAGTCTACGGTACCTAACATTTTTCAACGGAGAACATTTAAAAGCCTTTACAGGTCATCATTGTAGAGTTAATCATGAATGATGGTCCCAGAATATTTTAGCTCTTACTCCAAAGTTCATGTGATACCTCACGTGTGGTGAAAATCACTGGTTACATACATGTGCAGGACCTTTGCATTTGCATGTATACGTAGGGGGATGAGAGTGCTTTTAATTTTTTTTTAACAATCTTTATTTATTGTATTAAAACTTATTGTTTTCTACTTTTTACATTTTTGTCATTTAACTTTACAAAGGGCTAACAAGCTATAGTATGATAGCTTTGGGCAGGGGACATATACTCCTTTTGAAGACATCAAAAGTCGCATGACAAGTCAAAGCCCATGTATTTCAATGAAAGCCATTCAAATCTATGTGACTTAAAATCACAGCGAATTAAAAATGTTCCTGCACTACTTTGATGAGACTTTCATGCGACTTGAGTGCCATAGACTGCAGTGTATTCTCTAAAAAGTTGCATGAAAGTCGCATCCTAATGTTATCAATGCAAGAGTTGTGCAACAGTCAAAGCCAAAGTCAACAGCCAAGGTCACATCCAAGGCGCACCCATCCAAAGTTGCATCAAAGTCACAACGTAAAGTTACAATGAAAATTGCATGATTTTGGAAATTGCAGCGTGTGAATGGAGCCTTCAAGCCTAACGTCTGGGTCTCCTTTCATTTCCAAATTACCACATGTGCTATGGTGTATTGAACTGACCCTTGTGGGGGTGTGATGCCTTTTCATGTCTGGAGGTTCCAGTAAGAGAATGCATGCAATGTCATTTAGTAATGCTTCTATACATAGCACGAAACCTGTGAAGTACTATGTAATTTTTTACAGAAAAGAATAGATAATGGGTCGGGAAACATGACCAGGCAGATCTGGACATGGTACAGGCTGTGCTTGTAGAGTGCTAGGCTAGCATGACTTGGCAGAATTTGGGAACACGAAAGAGGAAGTGTGTGTGGGGGGAGGGGGGTGTGAATGACGTGAAGTGGGAGGAAAGGAGGTGGATGAAGCAACATGCAAGCATGAATCAGATCTGATGTAAACCTATTGTAAGGATTTGGTCATATGATCCACCATAACCTGTTTATCCACTTGCCTACCAGGCACTTATACCCCCTTCCTTACCAGGCCAATTTTCAGCTTTCAGCGCTGCCGCATTTTGATTGACAATTGCGCCGTCATGCAACATTGTACCCATATGAAATTTTGATCATTTTTTTCTCACAAATAGAGCTTTCTTTTGGTGGTATTTAATCGCCACTGGGCACTTTACTTTTTGCGCTATAAATTAAAAAAAGTGCAAAAAATTTGAAAAAAAAAAAAAAGTTTATTTGTTTCTTTTATAAAATTTTTCAAACAGGTATTTTTTCTTCTTCACTGATTTGCGTTGATGAGGCGGCACTGATGGGCACTGATAGGCGGCACTGATGGGCACTGATAGGCAGCACTAAAGGGCACTGATAGGCAGTACTAATGAGGTGGCACGGATAGGCGGCACTGATAGACAGCACTAATTAGGGGTCACGGATAGGCGGCACTGATATGCAGCACTGATAGGCGGCACTGATTATGGGTACTGATAGACGGCACTGACTGGCATCACTTCTGGGCACTGACTGGCGGCACTGACTGGCACAACCCCTGGGCACTGACTGGTGGCACTGACTGGCAGCACTGCTGGGCTGCACTGGTGGGCGGCACTGGTGGGCACCACTGGTGGGTGGGCACAGGTAGGTGGCACTGGTGGGCACAGGTGGGTGGCACTGGTGGGCACAGGTGGGTGGGCACAGGTGGGTGGCACTGCTGGCACATGTAGGTGGCACTTCTGGGCACAGGTAGGTGGCACTGCAGAGTGGCACAGGTGGGGGCACTGCTGGGCACAGGTGGGGCACTGCTGGGCACAGGTGGGGGCACTGCTGGGCATGGGTGGGCGGGGCTAGTGGGCGCACTGCTGGGAGGAACTTGCGGGGGTCACTGCTGGGCACCGATCATCAGGGCACTGATCATCAGTGCCCTGATGATCGGTGCCGATCCCCGCTCTGACAACTGCCGGTTCTCGGCAGTACTTTCCTCACGATCTGACAGCGTGAGGAAAGTGCAGCCGAGAACCGGCACTTGCATTTTCCTGTGATCAGCGTGTCATTGGACACCGCTGATCACGTGGTAAAAGGCCGGTGGGATCGGCCTTTCACCACATCTCGTGATCAGCTGTGTCCGTAGGACACAGCGATCACGGAGATCGCCGGGTGCGCGGCCCCTGGGGCGCGCAGGAGAGCGCGTTCTGGGAGGACGTCATATGACGTCCACCCAGAACTAGCCGGCCGCGGTGCAGCCGTCATTCGGCTATGCGCG